TTATAGGCTCGGCAGTGCTACGCTGGTTAGCACTACGGATGAAAGGGACTTGGGGGTCGTGATTGACCACAAGATGAATATGAGCCTTCGATGTGATGCTGCAGCTAGTAAAGCAAGCAAAACGCTGGCTTGCATCCATAGATGCTTCTCAAGAAAATCCCAGGACGTCATTCTCCCATTGTACTCAGCCTTGGTGAGGCCGCAGCTGGAGTACTGCATCCAGTTTTGGGCTCCTCAATTCAAAAAGGATGTGGAGAAGCTTGAGAGTCCAGAGAAGATCCACGCGCATGATCAGAGATCAGGAAAACAGGTGATAGGCTGAGAGCTGTGGGACTCTTTAGCCTGGAAAAGCGCAGGCTCAGGAGTGATCTGATGGCCACCTATAAGTTTATCAGGGGTGTTCACCAGGATCTGGGGGAACGATTGTTCACCAGAGCACCCCAAGGGATGACGTGGTCGAACGGTTATAAACTCCAGCAAGACCGTTTCAGGCTGGACATAAGGAAGAATTTCTTCACTGTCCAAGCCCCCAAGTTCTGGAATAGCCTGCCACCAGAGGTGGTTCATGCACCTACATTGAACGCCTTCCCCTCACGAGTGCCACAGGTTCTGCCCCAGCCCCTCTGCCCCTCTCAAGCTGCAAATGTGGCCTGAGCCAAAGGCAGGGCGAGGTCAGCTGGGTCAGGCTGAGGTCAGGGTTGGTTGCCTGGGGTTTAGATTAAAGGAAAGTTCCATTTCCCATCCCCGTTGAAAAAAAAAAAAAAAGTCTCAAAGATTATCTTGTTTGGAGGGAGAGGATTAAATATGTATAATTGCTGAAACTGCAGAAATACGGGTTCAGGTTATTTACCCTTTAAAAATGCTGAGAGTAACAGCAGCAGCATTAATTGTATGGGTTTTCAATATTCTTTTACCAACAACGCATATATAAATGCTGAAAGTATGTTCAGTTTTCAGATTGTCAAAGTCTTTATTTTAATGCGTGACAGCCATATCACAATATTAACACTTGTAAAAACTAAGACTACTTATTATAAGAAAAGAAAATATTTATGTTTGTTTTTTTTTTTTAGATGGACCAAATACAGGAAAAGGTGCCGGTGGTAGAGCTGCAGATGATGGCAAATCAAAAACATGTATGATTTTGTAATTCTCTTTAATGACACTAAAATGGCTTTTGATACAGACAAAGGACATCTAGAAAGAACTTCAACAATTCTTAGTGGATTTCTGTACAGTACAGAGTAGCATAGATTAAGCAATCCCCTTAAACATCTGCCATTTGTTGGGTGTCAATTTGGAGTATCCATTGAAGACTCGGTATCCATTGAAAACTAATAATCCAGAAGGCAAAATGGAAAACAAAAATATGAGTTATGGTGCAAAGCTAGTTGTGTGTTAATTTTCAGGCATTATTTCTTGTCATTCATAACTTCATACATAGTATTTTTATTAAAATGTATGAATGCTGAAAACTGTAAAAACTATGCTTTTTACAATAATTTATGCTTTGTGTGATAATTCAGTCATTTCAGTCCAGATCAAAGTTGAGCAGACTATAAACCAAAAACCATAGTTATTATAACTGATAGGACTAGACTTTTAAATAATGTTTCTTTCATTTACAATATATATGCTCCTCTTTTTCTTCACTCTCAATATCAGGTGCAATAGCAGAGTTGTCATTTTCATTATTTGGGAAAACCTAGACCAGTGATTCTCTACCATTTAGGGCCAGGACAACCCACAACTTTTTTGAATGTGGTGTTACCTCTGGTAGAGAATCACTGTTGTGCTGCCTCAGTGCTTCTCAATTGGGTAATGCTGTTTCCAGATAAAGCTGCATACCTTCTGCATAGTAAGACCAGGGAAGGCTGTGACATGCACACACTCCTGATTTATTAGGGTTCTCCAATATGCCTAAAGCAGGCTGGAGAGCTGGCTCATGCTTCTCTGAGTGACCTTGCACAGTGTCTCCTGGAAACAGAAGCATGCAGGGCAGATAGAAGTGTCCCAGAGACTTTCCCAGAGAAGTATGGGGGTGGGAGGGTGAATCAGGAAGGGCTGCAATACAAACCAGCTCCCCCGCCTACTTTGTAGTCATCAGAGAATCCTAATGCAAGATGAGCATGCACACATGCCGCAGCCTTGTGCACAGAGGCTGGTTTTTCCTGGCCTTTGTGGCACCTCAGCTGAAGATCACTGAAGTAGACACTACCACCCCTCTTGGGCCTACGGAAAATTCCACCTGTGGTGTACACATTGGGTGCCTATATACGTGCAGTGAGGCTGCTCTGATGTGCTGTAATTGCAGCGTGTTAGATTAACTGAGTTTACTGGAATGTGGTAAATTACCGCACTCTAGCAGACCCCAATGTCTTGTGTATCAGCATCCCTGTGCTGAAAAATGCTGGTGGCGTGCTCTAACTAAAGCTCAAGTGCCCTCATTGCCATTTTTCAGTGCAGGGACAGTGATACAAGAGACACTTCTGGCATTTTAATTAGAGCAGCTCTCAGAGCCTCTCTAATTAAAAGTTCCCCTCCCCCCCTCCCAGAGCTTGTGTGTAAATGCCCATTCTTTCTAAAGCTACCAAAGAACTTGTAAGTTACAGAAATGGCTCAATCATCTTTTCTCCACAGACCAATTATTCTGTCTCAGGTCCATGAACTAGGCATCTGTTAAAAGCAAACCTCTTTCTCAATGTAAAACTACAATGAAGGCAACAAGAATTATAATAATTTTAATTTAGAATGAGTAATTTATCAAGGAATCTAGACCAGGATGTCAGAAGTAGAGGTATACATTCAACTGTAATGTAACAAGTGTACAAAATGCTAATACAACTTTTTCTGAACAGAACAAACAAGCAGAATTATGTTTTTACTACCCAACAAAAGATATGCCAATTGAAATAAAGGGAAAAAGCCTCTTCATGTATTTGCCTCTAGCCACAGCTTGAAAAACAGACTGTACTAATGGCTTATTCCAAAGAAAGAAACCAAAGAATGGCAGAGGACTTGCTCCACAGCCACTATGCAAGGTCTTGGGCTGCAGTACACTCAGAGGAATCTGTTCCTTCCCTACATGGGGAAAAGAGAATGGCCAGCATTATTTATGAACTGAATATATGTATATCACTGAACTGAGCCCTAAACCTAAACACAGAGGTGTAAAGAGTAGTTCTTAAATGCACTGAAGTTACCCACTTTATGTGCAGGCTCCTCCAAATCCAAACACCCTTTCTTTT